CGGCGCCTCCCTGCCACCGAACAACAGTGATCGAGATTCAAGACTCCACTCCCTAGGAACCGACCCTCCCTTCTGTCATGCCAAGACTCAAATGTATCATGCAAAACCATGTGGAGAGTCCAGTCTTCCGCCCACCTTGTCACCATCAAGCTCGAACATGATTCGTCCCATGGCCATCACCCATTTAGCTATTGATCTGGGAAAAATATTGACGAGGATGAGACGTCACTCAATGATTAAAAGCTAACCTAGTATCGTAATTAACATAAACAAGGTATTGAGCAATCACGGTTAGCGTTATACCCTTCTTGTTCCCGTTATACTATTACCACTATAAACATTCACCACTCACACATAGACATATACTAAACCAATACAAATTCAACAATAGCACCATACCCATTTAAACACCATAAATCACAACATTCACACACATAACCACGATTCACAATAAGCATATGCACATACAAACATCAATCACCCACTCCGGCCTAGCCATGCACCATCAGCTTCTTTCCCACCTCCACCTCCTCCTCCTCCACCTCCACCTCCTCCTCGATGCTTAGGCTCCACCACCTCCGCCGACCTAAAGCATCGGTGACTTCCTCCCATAACCCGGGCAATCGGCACATAGCCGGATATATACACAACATCCTTACTGAGGACGTATCACATCATCATTTTCTCCTGGTACATGACTAACCGTTAACACACACATAAAAAGAAACACACATTCATATCATCTCATATCAAATCCATAAACATCACTTCCGTCCCTTGGATCGATAGAGAGGGAGGGCATAACTTCTGGTTTTTTTCATGTTGTCAAAGAATTGAACAATAAAAATAGATGGCGAGTACCTGATCGAATTGATATGGTCATTCACATCACATGCATCACCATTATCAATATCAACATCATTGTCATCATTGACTTCATCATCATCGTTATCATCATCACAGAGGACTTTCGTGCCTCTTTATACTCATCTCATCAACATTCTTATCATTCTCCACATTGAAATCACACAATATCATCATCATGTGATATAATCATTAACACATACTCCATCACACATACAATCGCACTTTACTATAATTAGATTCCTACCTCAGGTTTGGGCCTCTTCATGACCCAAATACCATGCTCGTATTAATTAAGGTACTAGATTAAAATTTACTCACAGTATAATTATTCAGATATATATTTCCTGTCTGGATGATTCCCAACTTTGCTTTTCTCCTTAGTCACAATGGGAATATCTTTATATGCTGCCAATTAATCCATTAGTCACAATTAGTTAATTCAAGTGTAACTATATGATTAGAAATATACTCTAGAACTCCCATCTTAAATTCCATCATTATCATTTAATAGGGTATCTGTATGTATCTGTACTTGAGGTTCTCTTAAAATTGACATATTCTAAGCCTCTCCTCCCTAGTAAAGTTCATGACTAAATTCTACTAATTGTTCCTCATACCAGAATCAACATATATATATATACCACAAGTAATCCTTCCAATTAAGTATCCCTTCCATAATCTTCACATGCACATGCATTATATATAGTCTACTCACATATTTTCCTACACCACTTAGAACTAACCCATTTGATTAAATTTTGCAGTGAATCCTTCCACCTAAGTGGGTTAGTTTGTTTCATGGATTTGAAAAATGAAAGTTTTGGTTAAAACTTGGGTTTTGTAAAACCATATATTTATGATGGAATTGGTCCATTGTGGATTTGAACCAAACCATTGTTTGCTTGTTGGATTTGATGATGGACTTGGTTGAATGATTTTTATGGGTATAAAGTTCAATTTACCTTGTTGCCCTTATTATTAATTATTTGTCTATTATGAATTTTTTATATATAAATCAAAATGAATCTCTCACTCGTACTCACGTTCCCTCCAATTTAGTAATGTCAATGTATGAGTTTAACTAAAACAAAAATATGCAGAGCCTTACTTTGTTAAATGGCAAAGCCGCCCAATCAATCGACTGTACACATAATAATTGGACTATTTAGAACACAAATGAAAAGAGGTTATAGAATCACAGATCCCTACTTTGTTAAATGCACAACCCTTCTTTGTTCTTACAGGAAGTAACCCTCTGGTAAGTTCTTACAAACAAATAGCCTTTTATCGAAATCTTTCCAAAGTATGAATTGATTGTTCAATTATATAATAACCTTTGGAGCAAGAATTAAATACCATAATCAGCAAAAGTAAGAAGTAAAAAACAACCTTCTATTTTATTTGTCGAACAGAGGGGGAATCGGAAGAAATTGCTTAGATATGAAAATTGGGAGTTTCAGGGTAGCAACTGAATTAATCGGCGGGTGGCTTTCTTTCTTTCGTAAATTTTATGTGTCTGCTTCTTGTCAGTTGAGTTAGTAGAGAAGGTAATAGGAGGACAAAATCGTCAATAAGAAAATAAGTGGGGTTAAATTAGTAAATAACTATCATGGACTTCCCATCCTCATGCAAATCCCACTTCTTAGACTAGAATTTCCAAGGCCCCACAGATTTATTCCCTCCAATTCCATCAAACAAACAATGAATTGTGCCCAAAGTCCATAATGTTTGGGTTTTATGCACCAAATCCATGATAAAATCCTTGAAGCAAACATTTATTCCCACTTGTAATCCTCTACTAGAGTTTACGTCTTTCCCTTCTTCCCCTCTACTAAACACTTGACCACTTACAAAAAGAGAAAGAAATCCATACCTTGATTATTTGACCCATCCATTAATCACTACTCCCAAATGATTTCCACGGCCCCTGGATTGGTCTCTGCCCCTAGGTTCGTGAGGATATTTAGTACAAATTTTATAAGTAGAACTTGATCTATAAATTTTATCATGAATAATTATGTGTTTTAATGGTAGCCAAGCTTAACTTATTTCATAAAGCACATGAGTTTGATCCACATTGGTTACATAATTTTTTTGAATTATTTTTGGCCCCCGGTCTCGAAATCCTGGCTCCGCCCCTGAAGGTGGGTGTTACACGTATGTGTGTGCATGACAAAGTTAGATAACAAGTGGCATTTTCTATTGTTTGACTCACTCTATTTCATATTACAGTGTACCCAAAGATATGATTTGGAATTAATTGGTGAAACGAGTAATTGGTGAAACTATTAGTTGTCACCCCTCTCATTAGGAGTTACTTGGTGAAACTAGTATTCTTTCTTATTATTAGTCTTACCTGATCTCTTTTCCAACTCTAGACTGGGTTGAACTAGGAATATGTCTTGAGGATTATTAGGTTACTATATGGTTAGGTGTTATCGAGGGTTAGTACGAGACTTCTAGTTCGGTTCTCTCAAAACACACATTAATGATTTTTACCTATTTATCCGAGTTCACGACGTGAATGGATTTCCCCATGTCTAGCAACTTTCTATATTAACTATGTGGTTAACGGATCACGTGAATGGGTTGTGACAGCGCAGGCCTTTATAAATCCTTACTCACGTTTACCTTTTAATCAACCCCCATTAAACTAAAGCAAGTATATATCCTCCTAGTTATGAATTATAATGTATAACACACCTTGTATACTACTAGTAGTATATTGTTATATATTTTCATTCATGGAGGTGGTGGTAGAAGGGGCAGTGACTGCTTTTTCTTGTGGAGGGAGCTCCATTGGTGGAAGCAGCAGCGACAACAGGCAAAGAGAAGAGTAGCGGCGACGATGACTGACGGGAAGACGATCACCGGTTTTGATGGCTTGAGAAGGGAGATGATAATATAATTAATTAAGATCTGGTTTGTTATTTCCCTTTAATTTTCTAAACATCGCCCTAACTTTACTAATATTGCCCTAACTTATTTGTTGAAATTGCATAACAGTCCAATAAAAAAAAAACAAAACCGCTTTTTAATTCACAGAACTCTCCCCCGAAAGACAGCAAATCAGCCGCCGCCGACTTCCTCCCCTGCAACCACCCCAATCCCGCCACCTCCGTCCTCTTGTCGTCGTTGGAACTCTCCCCTGCCGGAAAACAACAAATCTGACGCTGCGGACGTCCTCTGGTGCAACCAACCCAATCCGGCCGCCTCCGTCCTCTTATCGTCGTTCTCCTCCAGCAGCGCACCCTACTATCGTCATCATTCTCACCATTGCGACAGAGCCTCTCCTTCATCCTGCCGTCGACCCTTCTACCAGGTCTTCTCAATTATTTCGTTCGTTGTCCCTTATGTAAAAATTGAGAAACAAAATTGGATTGAATGGTGGGTTAATGATGTTAACACCAAATATGGTATGACGGAGAGGAAGGGGGCGGCCGGGCTACTGTCGATGACTAAAGTGGGTTGCTGGTTGAGGAAGGGGGCAATCGGGCGGGTAGTGGTGGCAACGAGTACTGCGACTGCACAACTAGTCAATTTTTTCGGAATGTGTTTATTATAATAAAATATTTTTAAAAATAAAAAAGATATGAGGACAAAAGTGTAATTTGAACTTGTTAGTTAGGGCGATTGTAGAAAAGTTAGGACGACGACTAGTAAGCCCCCTCTCCTTACCAAGAACGATTAAGTAAAGGGTAAATGACACATTTGGTCACTGAGATTATTAAATTGTGTCATGTTTAGTCACTAGAAAAAATTAATATCAATTTTGGTCACTCGAATTACCGAAACTGGTCAAATTTAGTCACTCTCCCGTCAGTTTTCGTTCAACTCCATTAATGTAGTTGGAGGGTAACTTTTGGGAGAGTGACTAAATGTGACATGTTTCAGTAATCCGAGTGACTAAATGTGACATTTTTCAATAATTCGAGTGACCGGAGTTGGACAGAGGCTACAGAAGAGTGACCAAATGCGAACTGTGTCAGTAATTCGAGTGACCAAAATTGATATTAAATTTTTTAAGTGACTAAATATGACACGATTTAGTAATCTCAGTGACCAAATGTGTCATTTACCCAAAATTCGACTTTTAAGTTAGGGTGATTATCGTAAAGTTAGTGCGAGCCGAGAATTAGCCATCCAGAAACAAATAGGAGAGGACCGAGGAAAGGGAATGGAGAGAGTGAAATGGGGAATCCTTCCTCATTCTCCTTCAGTTTCGTAGTCCTCCTCTCCGTCTCCCTCACAGCTTCATCACCGTCCGCCAAATTCTTCCTCAAGTCTCCGTCTCCGTCGCGGCCGTCGATTCCCAAGGCGACGCCGTGCGATTTGCTCTCCGTCCTAGGCTCCGCTAATCAATCCTCCACAGTCAACCCCCTGGTCTCCCGGGAGCTCACGTCTTGCCTAAAGTTCCTCGTCCCCTTCGCTCCCGCTGCTCTTGAATGTCCGGAATCTTCTCTGGCAAGGCGGAGATTGCGTTCGGAACGGCTCAACCTCCGCCGCCGAAACCGTGGAGAAGAGAACCAGCTCCTCTGGTGGCCCCCTGAGCCGGTTCTCGAGCTCGCTCGCCTTGCCGTTGACTCCGGCGGCGATCCTGATGCTATCAATCGCGCTCTGGATCCAACCGTCTTGCGAGTGAGTGTATTTGAGTTTTTAATTTTACCCAGTTCTTAGAAAATGGCGGTATGATTAGATAGCTCTTTTGAAGTGAGCTCGTTTAATTCATGTTTGGCAATGGAAGGAACGAAAGATAACCCTTGCAAGCATTACTAGAACGCCGAGTGCTTTTTTAGTTCTTTCTTGTTTAAATGCTTGAAAATGGCGTTTCGGCTATCTAGCCTTTCTGAAATGAGCTCGTTTGATTCCTGTTTGACTGCGGAGTTTTTTTTGAAAGAAAGAGGAGTTATATGTAGGTTCCTGGTATTAAATGATCGAAAAAGAGAATCTGTGTCAGCTTACTATAGTTTTTTCACTTTGTCTTTCTCTTTTGCTGGGAAAATGGCATTTCCATTACCTAGTTCTTCTGAAGTGAGCTTGTTTCTTTCATATTTGGCTATGTATATGTAGGTTCCTGACGTTGAAGGATGCAAAGAGGAACGGTGCGAACTTACTAGAACGCCGTATGGGAGGCGCTTCATAAGTCAGGTTTGCCTACTCTTTCCAGTTTCTTTGCTATTGGAGCAGTTTGCTTGCAGCCTGTGAGATATGAAGCAGAGTTTCTGCTTTTTCCAGTCGTTGGAAATTTTATTGGCATCCTGTTGATTTACAGGAGTTGAATATCTACTTGGAATTCTTGTTTGAACTCATTGTTTCTCGAGCACCTGAAATTGGGATGAATGTGTTGTTGAATCGCTATGACTTCTTCCATGGCCACCTTTTCCTCGCAACTGGCACGGGAAGGCTTGGGATTCTGTAAGCTCGAAAACTCCCTTACTCTCACCGGAGTTACCATAGAACTAGATTACCAGACTGGAACCTCATCTGATGCTTTGTGTTGTTTTGCAGGTTCCATGCCAAAGAATACCCTGCATATGACAAAACAGCATTTCCATACAACATGGGATATTGCCAAAAGGGTGGGAGTTTCATAATTATTGCAATACATTAACTTCCATTGAATTGCTTGCGTATAGCGATTATTTTTCGCATGATTCTGTTATGAGAAGTTGTTCTGTAACGGGTAGAGCATATATTTTCGATTACTGCGTAATGTTTATTGACTTTTTGCTTGAGTACATCGAATTTTGTCAGAAAAGTGAAAACAGTTATGCGAGACCCACTTCTGCATTTGTTCACATATCTTCTATCCCAATGTAGTTAAAATTGCATCACTTTAGCGCATTCGAGTTTAGCTATACTGTTTCAGATAGACTCAAATGCATCAAACGCAGACAATCATGGATATTTTTTTTAAAGGGAAGAATGAATGTGTTCAATTGCATGTTAATGACAGATAACACTCAACCAAATGACGCATCAAAGTAAAAGTAGATGCTTTTGATTTTTTCAGGATCCAATGTGACTTACGATGAGTCCATGAATACGCGGAACATTCTCTGGCTGGCTCCATTGCCAGGCGATTCCGGAAAAGCTTGGGTGGCACCAGGTACCGTACTCACTTTCCTTGTATCACCCCAATATCAATTGTAACCCTAATGCTAATTCAATAATTTCCCATAAGATTATATTTATTATGCTCATAATATAACTAGCATTACTACATTGTGGGTTTACATTATGAAGGCGTCCTGGTAGTGCTGGATGCTCATCCTGGGGGAATCATATACAGAGATCTCATACCCAGTTACGTAAAATTTGTGAGGACCATATATGAAGGTTTGAAAGCCTTCGACATTGTACTTCCCATTCCAAGCATGTACTGCCAATTATAATCTCTTCTCTAGACCTAACTTGCTCTGATCTTTACCGGCCCGGTTCAACAGATGATTTTGGGGACGTTGCAGTAGATGTGAACTACTTGAACGTTGGAGGCGCAGTTGCGGATTATCAGATCTATGTATGCTGAAGTTTCGACTTTTGAGGTAGTCTTTCCCATGATTACTCTCCTACTATTACCCGAATGATGCTGCTGCCCTTCGTTTTCATTTTGTAACAAGAACGTATGAACCATTTCACAGAAGTTGATTGTTCCTGACCTCCCAGCATCGAAAAGATGTAAACAAGAATGAGTTTCGGTCTCACAGTTGCCCTGAGAAATGATCAGTTCAGTGAAAAGTTTGCCCCATCTGTAAGTCCTCCCCCCATAACTTTTCAGATCCTTCTCATCTTTTAACCTGAGGAGCAGGAAGATAGGAGAATCAAAGAATAACAATTTACTTTCATTTCTTCTGATTTCACTATTCTTATACACTAATTGGACTGTACTGAAACAGGCCTGTCGCTGGCCAACTAATGATATTGAATACTTTGATGTCTAATGTTATTAGTAAAAGTCAGAGTCACTGAAATTACAAAAAAAAATTACAAAAAACGTTCAAGTTTGGTCACTCGAAATATTTAAATCCATTGGTGGTACTTCAGTTTACTCAAACCGTTCACGTTTGGTCACTCTCCGTCCAATTCCGTTAACTTTGGCTAATGTGACAGTCAACTCTCAAAGTTGACCGTTAACTTAGTGACGTGGCAAATAAAAAATTATTAAAAAAAATTATAATTTCCACCTCATTATTACATTCATTAAAAAATAAAAAAATAAAAAACCTTACCCGACCCAACCTCCACCGTCGCCATAAAGTCCGACCACGGTAGCAACACTCCCCACCACCACCATCCAATTCCGACTCCTGCCCCACCCCGTCCCGCCCCGGCTACAATCCCTCCTCCCACTCCTCTGCCGCCGCTACTGCAGAAGGTAATTTGGAAAAATGGCCAAGGCGGCAGGTCGGCTTGTGTTAATCTTCCACAAAATAAGATTAACTTAACGAATTAAGTATGATTTCTTTCTTTCTTTCTCGGTCTTTGTCGTTGTGGTTGGAGATTAATGAGTGGAATCTCCTTGCTTCAATGGTGGAAGGAAAGAGGCTAGACCATATATATAATACCCTGATCAGCACCTACTCAGAAGAGAATTAAGAAGAGCTAAACATAAGATTATATATATATAATCTTAATTAAGCTAAATATCAATAACTAGTACGTACTGTCATTAGATGGAGGTTCATTATGGCGTGAAGAAATTCGGGATGCTGCTGCTTCTCCTCTCATAATTGCAGCTTCTCTCGCAGCAGGTATATATACTTTCGATTCAATCGATTAATTTCAAAGCTTTAATTTGTTGCTAATTAGCTGTTATTTTGGGATTGAAGCCGGCGTCGGGTACGTGATTGGGCAGGAGTCGGAGTTGGGTGGTGGTGGTGGTGGGGAGTGTTGCTACGGTGGTTGGATTTCACGGTGGAGGTTGGGTCGGGTAGGGTATTAGATTTTTTATTTTTTTATTTTTTAATGAATGTAACAATGAGGTGGAAAATATAGAAATTTATTTTTTTATTTTTAATAATTTTTTAGTTGCCACGTCACTAAGTTAACAGTCAACTTTGAGAGTTGACTGCCACATCAGCCAAAGTTAACGGAGGTGGACGGAGAGTGACCAAACGTGAACAGTTTGAGTAAATTGAAGTACCACCAATAGATTTAAATATTTCGAGTGACCAAACTTGAACGTTTTTTGTAATCTCAGTGACCAACCATGCAATTAACCCGTAAAAGTCAAATACTTTGATATACTCTTATCTCAATTATACCGGCTTGATTCAATCCAATACAATCACGAGCACTTCTACTATGATATATAGTATTGGTGCTTTAATATACAACTTAAAGTTGTACCATAACATTAAATGTATAAATTTAGGCTGTACCATAAAATAATTTGTATCATTATGTTATGGTACAACTTTAAAACTTGAAGCTGTACCATCATATAAAGGTACAAGTTTAAGTTGTACCATAAAAGAATTTGTACAAAAAGTATAGGTACAATCTGAAGTTGTACCATAACGTAAATGTACAATTTTAAGTTGTACCATAATGGCAAAACCCTATAGCACCAATACTATATAGCATTGTAAAATTTCTCATACGATCACGTTTGTAAACTGTAAAATGGAATAAGCGTTTGGTGTAATTGATGACAATTAACAACCGTTCATGGATTGAATCACTTGAGGCGGTTCAGATGCGTGCTAGCCTGCTAGGTTTGCTAGTTCGAGCCTTGAAGGTTGTCACTCTGTGAGTATTATGCTCTGTTTCCAGAACTGAATCGAACCGGACGTTGAACTAGAAAAGTTAGTGGTTTAGGGTTCAGTGGTTAACTGTTATAAAATCATTGGTTAATCGTTGAGAGAACCAATCGTGATCTATATCACAGATGCCATGTATAATACACTAATTTAAGAAAAACTTCATCATTGATCATAAAAGTTTCAATTAATATCATCCATAACGAAAATATCTAATAAATCATTCAAACTAATAAAAGAAATCATTTTTTTAAATTCAAGTTAGAAATTAGGGTGTTAGTTGGTAATGGCCACATAAAGCCGAGAAAGAGGTTGAAACATGAGAAGAGGAAGCACAAATGATTTTCTTAATTTAGGTTGGATTATGTTAGTTACGTTAAAGTATTTTTTTAATTGATGTACTTAAAAATAATAAACCAGTGGACTAGTCAAATCGGGGTGGTTCATATGGTTTCATGTTGAACCGTGAAAAATCGTTTGGTCCATAATTAACCGTTCAAGCAAATGAATCAGACCCATTATTATAAGAATCGAACCAGATCAACGGGGCGCCGGGGTATGGGAGGCACGCTGGTTACTCCCGAGGTGGTGAGGCAGAAGATGACATGGTGTTCCGAGCTAAGCCCCCAACCATTGAGTTCCCAAAATTCAATGGCAGGGAGGATGCAGGTCTGTGGATATACTCCGCAGAACGGTGGTTCAAGAACCATCCCACTAGAGAGGAACGAAAGGCTCAGTTGGCGTCCTTCTATTTAGAGGGGGATGCATTGCAGTGGTGGGAATGGATGGAGCGGACCTATGCTGAAGCTCGGACGCTAATTACTTGGCCGATGTTCAAGGAGGAGTTGAGGTATCAGTTCGGCAAGTCGGAGGGATGGGCCCCGGAGCAGTTGGCGAAGCTGCGCCAGACTGGGACAGTGGCGGAGTATCGAGCTGAGTTCTTCAAACTGGGTAACCAGTGCAAGGGCGTACCGGAGGAGACATTGGTGGGTCTGTGCATGGCGGGACTCCGCCCAGAGATTGCAGCGGCTGTTCGGGTATTTGAGCCCGATTCACTTCGAGCTGTTTTCCGTCTTGCAGGTAACAAGGAGGAGGAGCTGGCTAGCTGGCGGGGCGTGATAGGTCGCTATCAGAAGCCGGCTGGAGGAGGAGGTAGTGGTAGCGGCGCGAGCGGCGGAGCAAGTGCCGCTACATCGGGCCCTAATTCGGGAGGGGGTGCGGCGGCTGGCCCACCTTCGGCTGTCATTCGAGCGGGACCGAGGCCACCACCCAAGGGATTTAGGACGCTATCTCCCGCAGAGATCGAGCAGAAGAGGCGAGAAGGGAAGTGTTTCAACTGTGACGAGCGGTTTACCTTTGGTCACAAGTGCGGGAAGCCTGACTTGATGTTCTTGGTGGGACGATGGGAAGACGAGGCGGAGGATGAGATGGCGGAGGAACCCGGAGCAGAGCAAGAGAAGCCGCAACCTTGAGGACAAGGTTGCTTCCCAAGGAGGCGGGGATGTTAGAAACAAACAATTTACAGCTTTTCATTATTTCGTATTATTGTCGGTTTTGATAATTGGGGGATCATTTGGGGTATTTTTATTATATGGGTAGCAGTTAGGTATTTTGCGGATTATATAATCTGCAGTAGGGAGTTATTTTGTCATTAAGCAATCAATTACAGAAAACCTAAATCCTAATCTCCCCCCCTCTCTCTCTCTCTCCCTAGCGCCGAACTCTCTCTCTCTCTCCCTCTTTCTTTGGCCGATCGGCAGCCAACCTTCCCCTCTCTTCTTCCTAAAATCCCTAATTCTAATCCCTAGCTTGATCAATCCCTAGTTGGTCTAGCTATTTCCCCAATTCTACAACCGTTAGAAACTTTGTTTCTAACAAAGTTCCATATAGATCTCCTCCTTTAAGTCACCATTAAGGAAAGCATTGTTCACATCCATCCGATGGAGATGCCACTGTTTGATGGCTGTAATGGCTAAGAGGAGTTTAACAGAGTTGATCTTAGCAACATGAGAGAAAGTATCAACAAAATCAACCCCATAAGTCTGTGTGTAACCCTTAGCAACAACCCTGGCCTTAAACCGTTCAATAGCACCATCAGGGAGAAACTTAGTTTTATAAACCCATTTGTAGCCTATGGGAACAACATTAACTGGCCTGTCAACAATCTCCCATGTGTGATTAGCCTCTAAGGCATTAACCTCCTCCTTCATAGCTTGATTCCAGCAAGGATGTAAAGCTGCTTGAGCATAAGTTTGAGGGTCTGAAGGAGTAGAAATAAAAAGGGAGAAATGCTTGTGAGAGGGAGACAAGTGAGAGTAAGAAAGACAATGAGAAAGGGGGTAAGGAAGCTTGTCATCAAAGGAAGAAGAACAAGTTTGAGAAAGGAAAGGTGTGAAATGAGTCAAGGTGACGAGGAGGTCTGGTGACTCTGGGAGCTTTACGAAGGGCAATAGGAAGTGAAGGTTGGGCAGGAGGTGAAGAGGGAGGTGGTGAGGGCATAGGTGAAGGTGGTGTAACAGGTGGAGAAGAAATGGGTGAAGGAGGTGGAGAGGGTAGGTAATCAGGATCAGCAGTTTCATGAACATTGTGATCCTGTGGTAAGGGAAGATCATCTTCAGGAGGAAGATGATGATCAGGGGAAGAGGAGGAAGAAGGAACAGAAGTGTGAGAGTCTAGGAAAGGGAATGCAGACTCATTGAACTCTACATCCCTACTGGTAAACACTGAATGAGTGTCTAGATCATACAGTTTGAACCCCTTAACACCAAAATTGTAGCCTATGAAAACTGCCCTGGTAGCTCTAGGAGCAAACTTAGGCTTATGATCCTGAACATTTGTGGCAAATGCAAGACACCCAAAAACTTTAAGATTGCTTTAATCTGGTGGTATGCTAAACAGACACTTAAATGGAGACTTGTTGTGCAAAACAGGACTGGGAATCCTGTTGATTAAGTAAACAACATGCATCACAAAATGGCTCCAAAAACTAATAGGAAGGCCTGATTGAAACTTCAATGCCCTGGCAATATTGAGGATGTGTTGGCGCTTCCTCTCAACTCTGCCATTTTGTTGAGCAGTATGCACACAACTCATTTCATGCACAACACCCTGCTGCTGATAAAAGGAAACCATTTTGAATTCCTGACCCTGATCTGAATGTATAACTTGGACCTTCTTACTGAATTGGGTCTCAACCATTGGAAAGAAGGATTGCAAGAGTACTCTGGTTTCAGATTTGTGTCTCATCAAATACAACCAAGTACATCGACTATGGTCATCTACTATAGTAAGAAAATACTGGAATCCATCATGTGAAATAACATTAACTGGCCCCCAAAGGTCACAATGTATCATATCAAAGGGTGCTTTGGAATGAGAAGTATACTGTTGGGAAAAGGTAAACGCTTATGTTTAGACAAATGACAAACCACACAATCAAAACTCTCTGGTAACTCAACTTCAGTACAAGTTTCTTTAATTTTTCTCAACCTATCTAAAGAAAGGTGGCCTAGTCTCTTGTGCCACAAACTGGAACTCTCTTTGCTGGTGTTCACTCCAAAAATCTGAGGTTTGCAAGTCTCTCCTGGGCCACTGGAATCTCTAAGAAGGTAAAGTCTTCTACTTACTGGGATTAAACCAATTCTCTGTTGAGAGATAAGGTCCTGGATGTGACAAAAAGTGGATTGAAATAGTAATGAGACAGGACTGTTTTTGGTAAGTTGACTAACAAAAATTAGGTTATAAGAGAAAGAAGGTACCAAAAGAACATTGGTAAGAAAAATCCCACAAGGTAACTTGACAACACATAGATGGGTAACATATGTATGTTGGCCATTTTGGAAGGGTGGCTGACACATCATTCACCTTCTTACACCTCAAAAACAAAGTAATGGAGCAAATGATATGATCACTTGCTCCTATATCCAGAACCCACACACATTGACTGGCCTTATGTGCTAAAGTGGAGAGTAATAGAATACCTGGCATAGGCTGTGATCTAGAGACCACAGAGTTAGCTTGAGAGGGTTCATGTGAACTGGAAGCTGGCTGTAGTAGGGAGACTTACTACCGTTAGATTCGGAGCTAGAACGCACTTGTCGCCAGCTTAGGAGGCAACAACTAGCAAGACTGGCTACGGAGGAAGTGCAAATAGATGGCCATCTGAGCAGTGACTTCGAAGAGGAGTACGGAATGGGCGACGAGCACAAAAGGGTGAACCTGAACCTGGGGCAGAACCAACCCCTAGGGATGCCCATGCAGGTTCCCCCAGTGAATCAGGTTCTGGCCAATAACCTAGTTCCCCAGCCAGATGGGGCTCAACATCAACCACCCTCGCCGGGTCCCACTATGGAGTACTACTACACTCCACGGATCGCCGACATCCGCCCAGTCATCCTGTATTAGCCCATTCCAGAAAATAACTTTGAGATCAAGCCATGCTGGATTTAACTGATCACAT